TTCACTTCTGCCTGAGAGTCACTGGACAAAATCGAGATCATTTAAGTTATTCTGGCGAATTACCAACTGGCTAAAGTGAATAGTGTCTCCATTTTTGTTTCCTAAGCCTAATTCACAATCCCGAAGAGCAAATGAAGTGAAGGTAAGAGATAAATTAGGTGGATGTTTCATTAGCCAAAGCGGGTGAGGCTATATCCTCCTCCAAATGAGCGCCGACGGTGAGCCGCCAGCTGTTGTCTTTTGATTCTGAAGTGGTTGAATTGCTGTGCATATTTATTGTCTCTGAATAGCTCGGGCCTACAAAGCCTGGCTGCCCCATCTTTGTCGAGGCCCCAGAAGAGTGTGATGTTTCTATGACGGATATTAAGTTTCCTGAACCGGTTGAAGTCTCAATTAAGGCTTCTGCTGGACCCGACACCTCGGTTTTCGTCTCGATCGGAGAAGAAGACCTAACGTTGGCTGGCATTTCGTCTCCGAGCTCCAGACACGAGGAGCGTGGCGGTTGCTCGTCCAGACTGGCTGCTTCGCTGACACCAACTCCAGCAGAGACTGTGACCGTGTCTGAAGGTGTGGGGGCGGACAAATCGTGTGTGCATACGACCAGAGAAGTGTGCAAGTTGGCATCTGCTGTTACTGTGGCTTTACCAGCCGGCAGACCATCTGAAAAGGCCTCCGAAGACATGCATTCCAAGAGGCGTGTGTGACTAGGTGGGATGCCGGCCAAGGCACAAGTAAGATATTCAAGCCACCTACGAAAAATAGAGAGAGGGGGATTAGGTTAGAAAGATCATTAAATTCCAAAAGATATGAAACATAATTCCTGGAATCCTTTGGCAAATCTGATTGCGCATATACTTAATGGGTCATGACATATCTCGATCTTATACGAGGCAAATTTTATGCAAGGGAATATGTCTTCGGTCTTCCTTATTTGCCATGCTCTCTACTACAGAGTATGGCAGACGAAGGAGGAAGCGTACTATCTACTACTTAGGGAGTATGTAGTCTACGAGCATGGTCCTTTTTTTGTCAGTGAAAGAGAGTACGGATATCCACTAGCACAAGGTTTATCCAATGGAAAAATATCCTGGACAAATCGAATTATCTCTGTTATCATCATATTTACCGAAAGTGTTTCCATTCACATTGGCCCGAAATTGCTTGATCATAATCAGAATTCACACAGCTTGAACCGAGATTCTATCTGAACGTTATGATTATAGAAACAAACTTGTCATTTTAGTTAGCAAAGGTTGGAAATCAACACTTAGGTTAAGAAACCTCCACTTGAATGAAACTGTAATTCAACTTAGTTATGGTTTTGGGTTGACCTTGTTGTCGTAACTTGGTCTTTTTGTCAGGCGGATCTAGTAAAACGCACATAGTCCGAAGTCCTCTGTCAGTTGTTATCATAATTCCCTGCATCAGACAGTGGACTTGGTACATTCTCAAACGTTTCGCTGGCATCAGTGAGTGCTGCCATTCTCCGCACCAAGCTACGAACTCGTCAAAGAGACAAGTGAAGTCAATCCTTCCCCAATATCACTCCTCTGTCCTGGCCTATATATCTACTTTTTACCCTCTTATCAAACTCCCACCCTATCACAACTTCTCACTTGTTTACATTCCACTCGTGGCAAATCTAGTGTGGCCTTTTCACACCTGCTATTAACCCCGACCCCCTCTATTTCGATCGGCTAATCTGACTGGCCTGCAATCCGGATCCCCTCATGGTCCCGTAGATTCGTTCCTTCTATTCTGGTTGACCGATTTCATTCAGCTCCAGTCCCAGTGTCCGTTTCACTCCAGGCGATATTTCTTAAGACCCTAGAAGCACGTACACTCCTGCCTCACCGAGCAGAGCGCCTAGGCTCTGATTCCCGTGCTTAAAGATATCAGAGCTTCCCTTCACGGGTCGTCTCCTTCATTAAACCCATGTTACCTGAGCAAACTGTGGACGCTTATCTCTGGTCTCATGTGGCATCTCAAGTGGATTTCTTGTATATTTTGGCCATAACATCGAATTTCTGTGACGCTTAACTTATCTGTTCGCCTACCTCCTTGACTTCCAGGCCCCCAAAGTTATACTGGTTTATTCGAAATGGACATCGCTGACCGACAACGTATTTGCTTGATTGCCGAAACTCCCCACCCCCTACTTTCATCATCGCGATCCTTTTTCCTCCAGTTAACGATAGATCCCTGATCCAGGCGTTTCCTATTTGCTGGTCTTGCTGAACTCTTGTTTTATCCGAGTTTGCTTAAGCAATCTCTTGTTCATTAGATTGTTTTTCTTAAGGATATCAATGGCCTCCCTAATCTTCCGCTTCCTTGTGTTGTCATCGTATGAGTCCCTTCTTTCTGTTGCCTTCAATTGATCTCGTGTCAAGTCTGTGCGATGTGTTCCGCCAATTCTGATCTTTAGGTATACATTTTCCTGCAGAGCCTTTGAAGTTCCTTGCTTCGTATGCTAACTTTTCGCCCTGTTTCGCCAACATATTTATGTTTGCACGCGCCGCATGATATTCAGTAAACTCTTAAACAATCCAATTTGTCTACCCTTTTATGTTGCGTCGATGGACTTGTGAAGAGCGTTGTTGTATACATCGAAAAGAGACTATTACCATACCGGGGGCCGCACCATCTTGGTCTTTATATCTTAGTTATAGGTTTAATTAATCAGTTAACTGCAAACTTAAAGTATAAGAGATTAAATACTGTTGGATCAATTTTATAAATGTCACTACCGCATTGTAAAGGTGATCTCAACTTTCGATTTTGATGCGAATTAGAAGTTGAAGTATGGGGCTGGAGAAACCGATGAGGCTTACCATGAGGAAGAGGAGATCTGGTTACATTTCTCATTTCATAATAACGCTATCCTTCAGATTGGACCACAGGCCTCATCATTCCCTCTGGCCGTATTCAAGCAATGCGCGAAACTGATCAATGCTGAATAGGAGCTCTAGAAATATTGAGTTGTAAAACAGGCTACTTCAGAGTTACTTAATTTTTTATGAGGATTATGCCAATATGATAGCCTTTTAAAGGATCATAGGTCTCCTTTGGATCAAAGAAGCGAAAGGTCATTGAGCCCTGATGACCTCATATGTATGCACCAACACAAACATGCGTTCAGGTATATCTTTACAGATATGCTAAGATGATCAAGTGTTTTTATGCCTGACGTTAGTCAAATAGTTTTTTGATTATATTTATCAAGGGAAAATTAGTCGGTAATATGTTTTGACTTGTATGTGCGATAAGGATTTAATAACCCCTTCTTGTTTTGATGGCACATACTAACTGGAGGAACACATGAAAGCCCAGCATGTTTTCACCGTAGCCAAAGGGGGGTGACTCGAGGACTGTGTCAACCCTAACCTATCAGTAAATCCGAACGACAGTAGACCGAGAGGAACGTGCAGTCTTCATCTGGTGAGATCGACTTGCACACCTCATTACACACTTTCATGTAAAATGAAAGTCAATTAAGCACTGACAAACATCGAGACTCTTCAACAAACCAGTTTCATTACATATATACAATAAACTTTGCAATGCTGAGTTGCACAAGATGCATGACTTTCAAATAAAAAGAAGCCGCCTTAAAGTAGCATCTTTTTTCGATTTCGAGTGGGCGTTACCGATTCGACAATGGTTGTTTCAAAAATAGTGCTATTTGGGGACTGTACTTTAAATAATACAACCAATTCAGCAAACAAAATTGAAAATCCTCATGTATCTCATCAAATTTTTTATAAATTACCATTCCTTTTTTCGATATATTCATACTGATAACCAAATTAGCTGTTCAGCCTTTGAATCACAAGCTCAGATAGGTTTATGTAGTAAATATTGTTTTGTTTCTAGGGTATCAGAAGTATGTTGTGCTACTAATCCTAAAAGGATTCCTTTCGGACTGATAACGAGCCTGTCTACTCAATATGAATTGAATCGAAGTTACGATGGCCACAATGAATTTTTATTTGTGCTATATCCCAAAAGTTCGTTCTTATTCAGTATAAGCTGCAGATATGACCTTACGTCAACCAATCAGTACCTCCAATTTAACATGCTTTTGCGGAGAGTGTTTCAGCATTAAATATTCAAAGTTCCTACCAACTATATAAATCAGTAGCTTATCAAGTTTATCGACAAAAGACGCGGTTAAATATTGACGCAA